ATAATAAGATAGAGGTTTGGCGTTCTTATCGCTTAGAAGCGATTTATTTATTAAACATGTTGTGCCGATCCTACCTCGCTGGGATGAGGGCAGGAAGATGATGACTTCTGTTAAATCAATATGTATATATCACATAACATTGACAACGCACCGTAAATTAATCTTATCGCCGTCTATGCGTGAGTATTACATGTATGTGATAATTTCTTATAATATTTTATTTGACACAATGACAAGGGAATATAAAATAATAAAGATTTTAATTAAGCTTTAGGTGTCAGTGTGGTTTCCCTGATAGTATGTACATATTTATATGCTATGATTATAGAACATTACTTCAGAACTAGTTTATAGAAAATAGCGTAGCGTCTCAACAAATCTCAGTTGATTTAAATATCTTCTCTTCCAAACGATTACATCCAATGAAGATTGTTAATTGATTAGAAATTCCAGCTGTGTAATTAACTAGTTTGTGGTAATTAGGATGATTTAATTTACTTTATAAAATATGGCTATTACTCCCTTCCTTCCCCTTAAATGTCATCCGAGTGAAGTCAAGGAATTTCCGTAAAACTTTCTAAGCTTTTTTAACTCACTATTTCCATTATTACTTGTACAAACAGCCTTTTTATATACACCGCTTAATCAGGACTATGTCTTAGTCAGGAATTTATACTGTTATTCAAATTGTTCAAATTTAATCTTCATTTTCGCAGCCACAGGAAGATAGATAAGGTGGTATTAAATTACGCAATTAATATTATTTATGAAATGTTTATATTATAGTAAACACGTATTAATCTTAAATTAATTATTTGACATACAAGATAAATAGCAAGACACTAAAAGTCCTTGCAATGTAACAATGTTAATCATGGATGTCTCCTTGATTTGGCATAAGTGTCACTTTATCATTGGATATTATTGTATTAGGCCCTCGTGTATTCGTGATTAACTGCTTACCACTTAATTCTTATTAAAGTTCAAAATAAATTTATTATTTATGCTAAATTATCACATTTTTAATTAAGAAAACTTTAATAGTGATTTTAAAATTAACCTTATAACACAAACAGAACATAGGTACCTATATAGGAATAAAGTTGCTATTTATACTTCCACTAGATGATAATAATTTGATGCTTAACTTGAAGCTAAAATGCATTTTGTTATTCAATTATCGTATTTGTATTCATTTATGAATATCGATCACGTTTGCATAATTATTATGCAATGAATTCCAAACAAAAGAGTTATTGGGCCATTATGTCGCCATTTTAAGAAATCTGAGCACGCGTTTGTTGTGAATAACATAATTTATTCAGTAAAAACTGAATACATCACAATTCTGTTACAAATGCTAATATAATATTAAAATATTGCTATCTGAAACATGATATTCATATTACGAAGTTTACAATCAAAATGCTTCATCAATCTTTAAATTCTTTTCCGATGCCATGTTGCGTCAGTCGCCATTTTCTTTAATTTATTCTTATGTGGTCAATAAAATAGTAGGGTTGCCAAACATTAAATATTATATATTAATATATTATTGGTATTTTGTTATAAATAATCCTGTGCAATTAAAGTGAGGACTAGGATATCGTCCCTTTTAATTTTCTCAAGCGGAATGAGCTTTTTAATATTTATTAAAAAAATAAATTGGTATTCACATTTTGATTTATTTGTAAAGTTTAGCATGACAAGTACCTTAGTTGAAGATTAAGTTCGTATGCACTAAGTGTTTAACGATGAATTGTACCTTGTATAACTTTTGGGGATTGACACAAATATGCCGCCAAGTTTGTGATAACCCTGAGTTGGCTGAGTGCATACTTTTGTTTATTTAACGTGCTAGTCTAGTGTCGCATACGCTTTTGGCACATACATGACTCGTCGAATGCGATGCCTTTAGAAATTCAATGTTTATTGTACAACCGAGTGTCACTACTTCAGGATAATATTAGCGACGAGTTTGCAAATTAGGTAGGTAGTATAAGGAATTTAATGTTCGTTTAAAGGGTGTGTTTATTCTAATGCATATATGTTTAAACGCAAAGCGGACAGAGATGGGTTTCGTCTTAGCTTCTAAACGAAAAAATAATAGTAAAGACAAACTGTCTCAAATTTTCATATAAATATTAAAATTACGCATTTACATTGTCTATAAACTTTTGTGTTAACAATGATCTTAGATACTTAAACACCGCGTCGCCTCATATCATGTTTTATGCCACCATTTATGTATTCTTGTGTGAGTAAAAGCGTTATTTTACACTCGTGACGGCTGTCTTTACGTGTTTGTATGAGTTATTGAGCTATAACATTTTATCATTAATAAATTTAAATCTGAAAATCGTCGTCTTTATTAGTTCGTTACGTCTTATAATATTAACAGCTGTAGATTAATATAACTTTAACCCTATATTAAAATATATCTTACTCGCTATATTTGTACCATTCATAATATTGGGAAATACGTGAATAATCCATACTAATATTATTAATGCGAAAGTAATTCTGTCTGTCACGCTTTCACGCCAAAACTACTGAATCGATTTAAATGAAATTCTAACTAAGACAGATAGCCTAGAGCCTGAAAAAGGACATAGGCTATTTTTTAATTGAAAAAAGTGTTGTAAAGGGTTGAATATATCCTTCTTTAAAAAATATACATAGTTTTTAAAGGGCTTCAACGCGAGCGAAGCCGCAGGCAGAAAGCTAGTATAATTTAAATAAAAAATGTATATGGGCAACATGTGATATTGAAGAAGAAATATGTTTAGTGAATTGAATTTATGTGACTTATTCAAACCGAATCACTATCATCATCACACTCCTGCCATTATCCATCTAATGGGGGTCATCACAAAACTTGGATCGTGTCGACTGCCGTCAACCCTCCTTGGGTCCAACACTCAGATCCGGAACATGTATCCATCGGGGATAGGACACAAATATTTCTCGTTTGTGGGGATCCCGGTGCACAATCCAACAGTTTAGCAACTATGGCATGGTTGCAGAGTCTCAATACCGAAATACCGACTAATTTAATGCCTTGTAAGTCTTCTCCGTAACATTATACATTCAGCTGTCATCCACTTTGCGTTTGACGTATGTCATCCATCACCACTAATCACCTTGCAGTGATGGATGAACGTTTATAAGGCCTCGTCTGGCCGGCATTGGGAAATCCCGCTCGAAACGGGGACGGCGTTAAACAACTCGTGTAAACGATAAATTTATTTCCCGAGCCATTTCCGAACTGCGAACTCGTGTTCCAAATTCGAAACGATCGATCAGTAGCGGCGTCAGCTAGCAAGCATGCTGTTTCGGTAACGTTCGACAATTCCCGTGATTTTTCAAATGTATTTATGTACATATTCCTGTCCATTTTATTTTTGCTAAGTATCCCAGTATACTTGATTATACATTCATACCTTTATGTTTCCATTTACGTGTACAAATACAAATTTTGCAATTATATTAAGAACCGATAAAAAGTTATTAAATGAAATACCGGTTTTTCTCATCATTACCGGTTATTCTTATCAGTGCACTCTTGATCTTAGAGTCGTTTCTTAAACTTAATTCAACGATTAGTTAATAAGTATTGATTTAAATTTCAAGATTTAGGCAATAATATTAGTACATGTTGTACCGGAAATAAAAGTTTTAGTATGATAACAGTTCGTTAAAAACTTATATTGTACTGCCACTACAAGAAAGTACCGTTCGCTTTTTGAAACACTCACGACTTTATACTGACGACTAGTTGGGTAACACTAAAAAAATAAAAAGAAGAAAACAAGAAATTGAAAATGGGACGCATTTTCAACCTAATACGACAGTCTAGTTCCTAACTGTCTCCCGATCTGTATAACAAGAAACATTAAGCCGTCTCAGTAAAGTGGATAAACAGTGTGTCACAATCGCGTGGAGCCGAAACGTGATTTTGAACGGCACGCATTTAAAGTTTACTTTACAGAAAACCAATATGAGGAGGTCGAATGATGACATACATTTTTGCGTTACATCGAACCGTGTTGATCTTGTACAGGCGAGCGGAATTCGCTTCTGTCTATACGCACCTATATGTTTATTTTTGTTTATGCTTGTTTCCAAAAGGCGCACTGCCTCGAAACATTAACATTACGTGTATATACGAATTTAACGGTGGTAGGGCCACGCAGCAGCCTCGGCTGTTGCACGAATGGGCAGAGCCCAATTTTAAAAAGGTTGTCAACGCATCTGTAACCCTCGGGTGTAACAAATATCCATGGGCGGCGGTATTCACTTAACATCAGGTGACCCGTCTGCTCGTTTGGCAACATTTCGCATTAAAAAAAAATATACGAAATAAATACCCATACGGGATACGGTAAATAGCGCTTCAGATGTAGAACAGTAATTACTCTTTCATATTTTGCTGCACTTACCAAGAGCTCTCATCACCTTTATTGACTGGTAGAGAATGCCTTTGGGCATTAAGCCCTTTTAAGCCCTTTGTAACCCGTTTACGGCCCACTATACACAACCACAATACCTGGCAGTATTATACTTCCGGTATGATGAGTGAGGTAGCCGGGGCTCACTTTATTAAATGGTTGCAACGCATCTACAACCCGACGGGTATTGCACTTGTCAATGGGCGGCGGTTATCACTTAACATCAGGTGAACCGCCAGCTCGTTTGCTATCTTCTCACATAAAAAAAGAATCGGACACAGTTGTGAGACAATTGTTGATATAATTATATCATATTAGCGACCCGCCCGGGTTTCACACGGGTGCAATGTGTTAAACATATAAACCTTCCTCTTGAATCACTCTATTTAGTAAAAAAAAATGCAATTCGCATATTGTAACTTCTTTAAACACCGTGGGCATCTAAACCTGATTCGTTGTAGATGCATTATAAACCTATTAAAAGTAGGCCTATATTGGAATCATATTATATATCTTCTCACCTCCAATCAACCTTTCGGTTTGTTGCAGAAGCAATACTGCAACACGCGAACCGAAACCTGCTGCAGACTGGTGTCTTCCAGTGTGGGCCAGGCCAATCTCGGAATTGGCTTCGACGCCGAAAGCCAGGGCTCAGGGCTGATTTCCCACACGGCGACATATGACGCTCAGAACTCGTTCTCCCAGAGCGGCTTCGGTGTACAGAGCGGATCTTCCAGCTACGACGCCAGCCAATCTACGTTCGGCAGCACCATTGGCTCGAATGTGCCCGCCGTGACAGCCGTTCCCGCTGGCTCGACCGGCTCGTTCGGAGCGAGCGGTTCCAGTTCCGGCTCGTACGGCTCCACGTTACGCCCCGTGACCGGACAAAGCAGCTTCGGAACAGACTCTTTCTCGTCCCAGAGCGGGAACACTAACATCTATAGACCCGGCTCGGGGAGCTCTCTGAAACCTGGCATCCCTTACCTGCCCCCAGTCGACAACACCAACAGCGGCAGTAACGTCGTCAGCTCGACTGCGTTCCCATCAACTTTAGTCACTAGTCCACGCCCATTCACCACGCCCCGTCCAGTTTCTTCTCCGCGTCCATTCAATACGCCACTTCCAGTTACCACTCCTCGCCCCCTCCCGAGTTCCAGGCCGACCTACCTTCCCCCGGTTTCCTCTACCTCTGCCCCTGGTTACTTACCACCGGTTGGCGAGCAGACGATCAACAGGGAAACCTTTGTGCCCAGTCCTAATTACAATGAAGGTGGAATCATCCTCGACGAGTCAAGATTCCCGTCGACCACTCGCCAGCCAATCGTGCCCATTCTGAGTAAGTTTCTCCCACAAATAATTTAACCGTTACTAAAGATATTTTAATTACTTCAGTGACATTAAATACTGTTAGTTGTTAAATGTTCTGATACGTTCAAAAGTATTTTTTTAAGTTATTGATACGATACCACTTATAAAATATATTTAGGAAAGTGCCACATACTCAAATTATATATTTATTAATCAGATGAAATTCCTGCCGGATGCGCCGCTGCTTTGAAATGCACTCCCATCGAATTCTGCACTGCAGATGGAATCATCTCCAACACAACCGTCGTACTCACCAGAGATCAGAATGCTTATAGAGTACCTCTTACCGTAAGTATATAAGATTCATCTGTATTTAGTTTTTGATATAGTTGTCTTCTGTCGTTAATATTTATCCAGAGGACATGTATAAATATTCCATTTCGGCAATGGCTTTGATGGTGTTCTAACACTCTCCTAAACCAAACTCCTCCTTGTGACAGGACTGCAGAGATCTGGAGACGGGCCGCATCGGCAAATGCTGTCGCGACCCCTTCTACACCGACCCCTGGCCCACCAATCAGCTGGGCCAATGGGTGCCTGGTGTGTTCGGTGGCAACGATGGAAAGTACGTGCCCGATAGCCGGGTTAGCTCCAGTACAAGCCAGCAGGTCACCGGAACTCCCTTCATCACTGGAAGCACGATTCTGAATAACTTTAGGTAAATTAAAATGACGCTTTCTTTATCCATGTGTCAAATCTGTTTTTATGGGCAGGTCGTAATTATTGAACCATTGAGAATTTTTCTGGTTCATTACAAAAATAATGGTCAAGATATTTAAGAATACCTAAATAAATTGAGCATGCTCTGTATTACACAACAAATAAAAGTTGACTTTTACTGAAAATTGAAAGACGCATGCAATGCATGAAATTCTTGAAATCTCATAATAATTACAGATCAGTACAATGTTTCTAAAACAAGTTTTCTTTTTTTCAGGACACCGAAACCAACTTTGCCAACTTTTACGGGTCAAGGTTCGGGAATTAAAGAAGTGAATGGTCGAGGGCAAATCACTACGGGTGGTGTGGGTCAATTTGGTCAGGGTGGTATCGGTCAAGTAACCCAAACTGGAATAGGGCAAACTGGTCAGGTCGGTGTCGGGCAAGTTGGAGTCGGCCAAAGAGGTCAAGTTGGAGTTGGTCAAGTAGGTCAAGCTGGAGCTGGCCAAAGAGGTCAGGTCGGCATTGGTCAAACAGGCCAAGTTGGTGTTGGACAAATTGGAATCGGCCAAAGAGGTCAAGTCGGCGTTGGCCAAACAGGCGAAGTCGGTGTCGGACAAGTGGGCCAAGTTGGATTCGGCCAAAGAGGTCAGGTCGGCGTTGGTCAAACAGGCCAAGTTGGTGTCGGACAAATTGGAGTTGGCCAGAGAGGTCAAGGCGGCGTTGGTCAAATAGGCCAGGTTGGGGTTGGCCAAAAAGGTCAAATCGGTTTTAGTCAAACAGGTCAATTTGGTGTAGGACAAATTGGAATCGGTCAAAGAGGTCAAGTCGGCGTTGGCCAAACAGGCGAAGTCGGTGTCGGACAAGTGGGCCAAGTTGGATTCGGCCAAAGAGGTCAGGTCGGCGTTGGTCAAACAGGCCAAGTTGGTGTAGGACAAATTGGAATCGGCCAAAGAGGTCAAGTCGGCGTTGGCCAAACAGGTGAAGTCGGTGTCGGACAAGTGGGCCAAGTTGGATTCGGCCAAAGAGGTCAGGTCGGCGTTGGTCAAACAGGCCAAGTTGGTGTAGGACAAATTGGAATCGGCCAAAGAGGTCAAGTCGGCGTTGGCCAAACAGGTGAAGTCGGTGTCGGACAAGTGGGCCAAGTTGGATTCGGCCAAAGAGGTCAGGTCGGTGTTGGTCAAACAGGCCAATTTGGTGTCGGACAAATTGGAGTTGGCCAGAGAGGTCAAGGTGGCGTTGGTCAAATAGGCCAGGTTGGAGTTGGGCAAATAGGCCAATTTGGAGTTGGTCAAACAGGCGAAACCGAAGTCGGACAAGCTGGCCAATTTGGCATTGGACAAAGAGGTGAAGTTGGCGTTGGACAAGTAGGTCAAGTTGGCGTAGGACAAAGAGGGCAAGTTGGTTTTGGCCAAACAGGCCAAGTCGGTGTGGGGCAAATTGGCCAAGTTGGCGTTGGACAAAGAGGCCAAATTGGTGTAGGTCAAATAGGCCAATTTGGTGTTGGTCAAAAAGGCGAAGCTGAAGAGGGGCAAATTGGCCAATTTGGCGTTGGACAGAGAAGCGAAGTCGGTATAGGGCAAAATGGTGAAATTGGTGTTGGTCAGATTGGAGTAACTGGCGTTGGAAAATACGGCCAATTTGGGGTCGGGCAAAGGGGCCAGGTTGGCATTGGGCAAATTGGTCAAGTGGGCGTTGGGCAACAAGGCCAAATCGGCGTGGGCCTGGTTGGACAAACAGGCACTGGCCAAATCGGTCAAACTGGTGTTGGAGCGATCGACCGAGGAGGTCAAGGTAATCTCTACTAACCAACAAAGACTTACTCAATCTAGTGTTCACTTAAAATATTTGTGTTTATAACAAGTTTTGCATGAAGTAAAACTTTAATTTTATCGAGACGAGCTGTGCTAATCAGAATTACCAAACATAATTACCAAAAACGCTTCTGTTTTTAACATATCTGTGATAAATGTTGATGTTAATTAATAATAATGAATAACAATAACTTTTAACGCGAGCTAGTATTAAGTTAACAGTTACTCTAATTACAATTTCGTTACTACAGGTCAGATTGGAATACGAGAGCAAACCGGCGGAATCGGAGAAGTACAGGTGAGATTGTTTCAACAATTTTTGTTATTATTAGAAGATTTTTGCAACGAATTCATATACTTCATCACACTTTGGATATGATAGTTTAATTAATCGCATAATTAAGAGGGCGCACTAATCTATCGGGAGAGAAGTCAGCTAAACAAAAGGTGTTTTATGACCAGGCGACTGCCACCTCGTACTGCTTCACAGAGCAGAAATAATTCATCATTCATAGTATCCTTTTTTGGCTGATGTAATAAGACTGCGGATTATTTGTTAAAGTTAACAAATAAATAAAAAAAATTGGAAAGTAAACAAAATTAAGAAAAGGATATTCGATACGGAATATATGCACTTTAAGAATAAGATCTTAACTGTGGTAGGGCCACGCAACAGTTTTCACTGTTCCACGAATGGGCAGGTCCGTCCGGGTAAGTACCACTACCTCAAAGAATAACGCAAAGTAGATGTGTTACATTTTTGCGTTTCGTCTGGTGATTGAGGTAGCCGGGGCCCACTTTAACTAAAGGTGGCATTTGCTACCTACGGGTGTTGCAAATGTCCATGGGCGGCGTTTACTACTTAACATCAGGTGAATCGCCAGCTCGTTTGCCAATTTTTCACATAAAAATAAAAATAAGAAACTTTCATATGGAACACACATACAACGGGATCCATAAGTAAACGAGGTAAAATCTTGTCACATAGGGTACCGGACAGCGCAACAAGTTTGGCTTTGTGTCGCAAGGCATTACCCAGGTCGAAACCGGCACGGGACAGTACACCGAGAACGGTATCGGCCAGAAGGTAGTCCAGGGTGGCGGAGTGGGCATCAAGCAGGGCGTGGGTCTCGCGATCTCCCAAGGAGTTGGGACCGCGGTGGAGAACGAAGTCAGCGCGTCCACTCGCAGGATCTACTTGCAGCGTTACGATGGTGCAGGGCAGTGCGGTATCAAACATGTGAGTGTTATTGAAAATTTTTCCAATTACGCATTGTGGCAATAATGACTGCGGCACTGACATCATCGGTGCAATCAAATCAAAAAAATATCAAAAATGATTTCTGTCATATTTTACTCTGTGCACATTTTCAACGTCATAACAATACCGTCTTACCACCGCTCGCTGTAAGTATATAATAATGTCATATGTTTTACATGCAAAACAGATAGTACTCCATACTCACATACTATAATTCACTCAGAATTTTTTTCTTATTTACTTAAAGCCCATGGAAATTTTACTAGGCAGCGAGTAAACATATTTTATTACGTAGAACATCAAAGTGGTAAAAATATTTAAAGTCATTTTTTTTCACTATTACGTAATACAAATAGGAACAAACGAATATAACGTCATAAGTAAATATACTACGCATATTGTAGCTAGAGCGAAGAAAACCTTGCCGCGTCATTTTCACTTTCGCGTCATTTTCACTTTTCATTTTCACTTCGACTTCAAAAAGAACGAGGTTCTCAGTTCGAGTGTGTTTTATGTTTGTTACCTCAGAACTTTCGACTGCGTGACCCTAATTTGATGATTGTTTTTTTTTTTAAAGCTGGGGCTTCCGATGTATTATGATATTACATATTAATTTTATTGCTATTGGATCTTGGGCTCCGGAGATACGTAGGGAACACCTGAAAATCAATTATATATTAAGCGAAATATATGAAGTCCGTTTTGTTTTTCTTTAATAAAAAAAAATTACTCGTTTAATCTGCAATCACTAATAGCCACTGATATGTTAATAGTGGGAGCCAATCAATATTTAATTTTAATATGTAAATCAGTGATACTCATCTAGGAATGTTTAAAATCACACGACGACTTCTTGTTTTAGCTTTTAGTTTGTGTCTCAATCATTTACACTAATATATTAATTAATATTGAAAAGATTCATTACGTCATCTGATACGAAATGTTTATCTATTAATATTGTGTTCTAATGCTACGAACACAATATTTTGACACAGTGCTGGGATAAATTGTTTTAACGTGATATCTCCGTAGCCTTCAATTTCATGTACACATTTATGCGAAGCTATACTATAGCTTATACTATGTAGGTATGTACTGAACATTACTTAAAAAGGGCTGGGCTGAGCACTCACATGAAGTTTACCGTCAATACAAATAATTTTTTTGGGGACAGACACGTCTGTTTTTCTTTTGAGTCAAGACAATTCATCATATTATTTGCGTGACGTATTCTGACACTAAAAAACATTTTTTATTCGTAATAAGTTTTAAAAGAAAAAAATATGTCAAAATTATATCGAACAAAAATAATTCTAATCAAATCCATAAATATGCTGCTAACTGCGTAAGCGCGACAGCTGAATTATTTATTAAAATGATTGCCTAATTAATTGATTGGGGAATGTAATCGTACGATAGGTTATATTCATTAAAAAGGCTGTTTTAAAAGTGCTCTTGTGAAATGTTTCTCCTCACACTTAAAAAATAAAACGTTTTGATATTGTTTTTGAAATAAGATTATGTACCGTTTCTTTAAGAAATGTAAAAGTTAAAACGACATACGATTACATACGATATATAGATGAAAGATTCTGTTACATAAGTCAAATAAGATTCCCGCCATTTTAAGAATACGAATATGGACACAATTTTGGCCGAGTCATTTTTAGGGTTCCGTACCCAAAGGGTAAAACGGGGCCTCATTAGTAAGACTCCACTGTCTGTCTATCTGTTTGTCTGTCACCAGGATGTATATCATGAACTGTGATAGTAAGACTGAAATTTTCGCAGATTATTTAATTCTGTTAACGCTTTAACAACAAATAGGTATTAAAATGGAATAAAAAATATTTAAGTTGGGCTCCCATATAACAGACATGATTTTTGCCGTTTTTATAGATAATGGTACAGAACCCTGCGTGCTCGAGTTCAACTCGCATTTGGCCGGTTTTTAATTAATAATAGAAATACGAGGGCGGGATGATAAGTAACTAGCCTAATAATAAAACACTTAACTTTCCATGATAAAATTAATTTTATTTTTCGACATAGTCTCCGTGAACCGCTACACACTTATTCCATCTTCGTTCTAAAGCATTAATGCCTCCCAGAAAATGATTTCTTTCGAGGCCTGCAAAATACTCCTCTACGGCGGCTATGACTTCATCATTTATGGCAAATTTCTATCCGCCCAAAAAAGTTTTGAGCTTAGGGAATAAGTGGAAGTCTGATGGCGCTAGATCAGGCGAATAAGGTGGGTGGGGCAGCAAATCGTATTTCAATTCGTTGATTTTTGCCATAGCTTTAACACATGTGTGAACCCTAGCGTTGTCTTGGTGGAAGACGATTTTTTTTTTTAGCCAAACCTGGTCGTTTTTGTTGAATACATTGATGAAGCTTATCAAGACGATTAGCGTAGTATTCACCATTAATTATTTGACCTTTAGCAAGGTAATTTATCATCAAATCCCATCTGCATCCTAAAAGACGGAAGCCGTCACTTTTCCAGCCGACTTTACAGCCATGGCTTTTTTTGGAGCCGGGCATCCCGATTGAGTCCACTGATTTGATTGAATTTTTGATTCTGGCGTATAATGATGAACCCATGTTTCATCTGTTGTTACAAATCGACGTAAAAAATCGGCCTTATTACTTTGAAAACGGTCCAGACATTCTTTTGAGTTTTGCACCCGAATCCTTTTTTGATCGTGCGTAAGCAATCGCGGCACCCAACGGGCCGATAACTTTTTCATATTTAATTCCTCACTTAGGATATGATGTACCCGTTTTTTTGAGATACCTGTAGTGTCAGCTATTTCAGATAACTTCAATCGTCGATCTACTAAAACCATATCATGTACTTTCACGACCATTTCCAGAGTCGTGACGCTTTTTGGACGTCCGGGGCGGGCTTCATCTTGGACACATGTACGACCGCGTTTAAACTCAGCCACCCGGTTTTTTACTGTGGTATAACAAAGAGCACATTCACACAAAACATTCTTTAACTCGTCATTGATATCTTTCGCTTTCATCCCCTTCATATGAAGAAACTTTATCACCACTCTTTGTTCAATTTTATCTATTTTGAAAACAATTGACGAAATATATTTTCAAATGACAAAAAACAATAAAATTTTCACGCCACCAAATTCAAATTTAGAACACAGGTGGCCAGACAAACGAATTTAAAAATGACATATATATTTTTTTAATTTTAACTTTTTAAATAGCAAAGGCTAGTTACTTATCATCCCGCCTACGTATATATATTATCTAAACAAGATACACGACATTAATATACATCAAAACAAAATATTGTGATTACTGAATTTTGTTTCTTTAGCTTTATTAATTAATCTAGGAAAATCTATTTATTTATTCAAAAAGGAAAAGGTTTTGGATTCACATCCATCTGAAATATTAATCGGTCCAGTGAACCTATACTAAACTTGCTCACATCAAATTATATAAATTTGACTCAAAATAATTTAAATATGCTTTTTTTTAATTATAAATATCTGAATTTATTACTCTAATGGTGCCTTTTTGGAATTATAAAATGTCGTTATTTAATGAACTGTCAAAAAACCGGCTGTAGCGTTGACAGATGATTGACAAATAGAAAAAAAAAACAATACAGATACAATATATGCAGACACAGACGCAGACGTAAGATATGTAATGGAGGTTAAGATGTTCATGCTTACAGAAATTCCAGACGTAATAATTATGTCATTATTGCGATTTCTTAATTTGCACAAACATTGAGAATGGTTAAATGAAATTATTTAACGAGCTTCATTTCAATTTTCCGCAAAGTATTCGGTACGACGGGAAATTAAATTAAGATTAAAACAGGTAAAAATAATATGTTTTCGATATACAATCGTAAATCGTTACTTGGAATGTCAATCTCAATATCATGTTTTAATAAAACTTGATTTATACAGATTCTATATTTTATTTTAAAAAATGATCGGGCCATACTGATAAAGTTTTTATAAACGGCTCATTACCATAATAATGCAATAATTTTCATTTCAAGAATTAAATTAATTTAAGGTTTGGCATAATTTGAAAAATTATTACCACCCACCTGACGCAGCTAAATTAACCTAGTGGGTGGTATCACTAACTTTTATTATTACGATAGTTTTTGAAGGTACTACCTACTATGGCTAAAACCAAAGCTTGTTTTGTTGAACATGGGGCTTAAAAATAATATGGCGGCGACAATATAGAATAGAAAATTACTGATTACTAATAATATTATATGGACAAATCTGAGCAGTAGATTAACAGTAGAATTCAACTCGCTGGAGATGCGAGTTGAATTGTATACTAGAATATTTGAATCTTCAGTATCCTGTCTGATGTTATTGTATACGTCATTATTCAACAGCCCCAAAGACCCTACGGCAACCATGACGATCTGGAGGTAGACTTCGCCGAGATTCCGTGGCAGGCTATGGTGCTCCTGCAGACGAACAGAAGCCTTCTCTGCGGCGGTGTGATATCCAGGCCCGATGTCGTCATCACATCTGCTGCCTGCGTTGATGGGTAATTACATATTGGCATAGGACCAACGGTGTTGTTGAATTTATATTTATTTTGGCGCGTTTAAAAAATAATGACAGTCTATGGGCGACGGTGATCGTTCAACATAAGGTGAGCCGCTTCTTAATTTACCTCCTTTTCTATAAAAAAAGAAAAGTAAAATACCAACCCCCAAAAAGCGACTTCATCAAGTTTAATTGCTATGGTAATGCCGTTAAGTTGGTTGCGAACGCTATTACCGTAGCAACCAATAACAAGTTTTTGACATTTACCAATAATTTTTATCCTTTAAACGAGCAATATATATATATTTGGAATCTCGGAAACAGCTCCAGCGATTTTCATGAAATTTAGTATGTGCGTAGATTCGGGGGCGAAAAATCGATCTGACTAGGTTTCATTTTTAGAAAATGTCCTTTTATCCCCGTTTTCAGGGAATGAAAAATATTATTCGAATACGACGGTAAATTTCACCGAAAAAAAAAATGTTATAATAGCTCGGTCGGTAATCGGGCGGCCGCTAATAAACAGCCACGAAACAGAAGGCCGTGGTTCGTATCACAATCATTTACACATTTATTTTTTTACTTTTTTTTCGATTCCAGATCATTGCTTTCTTTATTTTTAATTTTTTGTCGATTTGTTATTTTGTTATTTTTTCCCTTTTTTTTTTTTAATTTCTTTCTTTTGTGAAAAACATCAGTTCATATTTTCTTATTATTACGTCGGTAAGATCGAAAAATATTATGCATATTTCATTACTCAGTAATTTGTATCTAAATGTAATTTCCAAAACACACGATTTACCAAAAAAAAAAAAACAAACCGAGCAAAGCTCGGTCCTCCAGGTACTGCAAGTTATTTGGTTATCAATTACTGCATTTAAACTTACGCTAAAGAAGTTGTACACTGCGAAACAACTGCGATCAGACATATCTACATACACAATAATAATATTAGTATATGTAACTAGAAACAAGTTTAATAGCTTCTATCGAAAGTAAAAAGAACTTACCACTGCGCTAAATAGTTATGGTAACACTTACGTTAATGCTGTAACATAATAAGTAAACACATACTTTTTACAGAGCGATACAACGTCACTATATAGGATATCTAAAGCATTGCGGGAATAAGGCACATCAGTAATAAACAACAATATAAATTAAATGCCTTTGAAAATAACAATCCGGTACTTGAAATTTTAATAATAAAGTTTAATTCTGCTACCTGTGACGAATCATGAATCATTTTAAGATATAACATATTATACATAATATAAAAATTTGCACACTAAATTTTAGTTATAGGCCTCTTGTTTACTGGTATTTATGTGATCTAAAATTTGCGTAATATAAATTCATCATCATTTCGTTTTAAACTGTTTCCTTAACTAACACTTCCTTTCCAGATTGGAAGCGAAGAACGTTCTAGTCAAAGGAGGCGAATGGAAACTCGGCATCGACGAAGAGCCGCTGCCTTTCCAGATCGTTCAAGTCAAGACCATCGTCTTCCACCCAGGCTACAAGCCCGGCAGCCTCAAGGACGATGTTGCCATACTCCACCTTGCCGAAAACCTGCGCTTCGCAAATAATATTCAGCCCATCTGCATGCCCGACTCCAAGGACTCCATTAATGCCTTCTACAGCGGCGCTGGACAGTGCATAGTTACCGGCTGGGGCAAGATTGTTTTGCAAGGTATGTCTTTACAAATCCACAGTAGTTTAATACCACCCAAGCGAATCTAATTGTTTGGATAAAAAAGAAAATTAAAGGATTGGGTCCTTGCAGAAACCCTGCGGAACGCTCTTAGACAAATTTTGAAATTGCGATAGAGATTAACTTTCCCCTCTAATTCAGTCTATAACACGTGTTTTAAAATGGTCTGTATCTTATTAACATGTTGCCAATTTATTTTAACAATTGTCCAGGCAACCATAATAACATGACCTCCACGAATAGTCAATGTCATTTGTAAATTATGTTTTAATTTTGTATGTTTTTTTTTTCTTGGTTTCTGCTTTGTTTTTAAGAGGTCTAAAAACACTCTATCTTACACTACGCCTTCTCATAAACTTGTCCTATATAAAAAATCATATTAATCCACTAAATTGCAGAGTGAAAGATGAATAGAAATCTACATAAATAATAATAATATTAGTATATGTAGCTAGAAACAAGTTTAATATCTTCTGTCGATAAAACAAAACAACCACCACCGCGCTAAATAGTTATGGTAACACTTACGGTAATGCTGTAACCTAACGGCGGCGAAGAAACAATAAATTTAATGGGCAAACGTGCAACACCTATGTAGGGTGTTGTCAAACGCGAAAATCCGCTAATTGAAGCGCAAACTGGCAAAAGTTTCACCGTTTGCACCGTGTCAGCGTGTATTACAAGTTGGCAAAGATTTGGCGCGGATTTGTTTGTCGAGCAATTCCAACATTAGAACCAAAGAGGTCAAGCCAATATCTCAAGTGTCCAAAGTGAGCGACGACCATTTAGTTTAGTTTCGATTTGTCTTCCCAGCACGGTACAAAATTGTTCATCATATAAACTATCGTAACTATAACTATGATAAGTATTCATGAGAATTATTACTCGCAAAAACCTAGGCTTTGAAGTATCGATTTCTTAATGATTTTCTTTGGATATATTTGATAAACGTCTCTATACCAATCGAACTTCATTCTGTATTCTGAGATAAAAAAAAAAAACATTCAATAGGATGTATCTAAATTTAAAATGTCTCACAAACGCGGTCACAGAATTATTAACTAAGATACATTTTATTTTATTTATATGTATTGGATTTTAAATTGAAACTCTAGATTATTCGAATGTGTTGTTGCATTTACGTCTATCCTATCACGAATTCATTTCCAAAATAGGGTGATTCAATTTTAAGTAACGAAGATTTCAGCTTATCTCATTATAAACATTCAATGTTCATTAAAACACTTAGGCAGGTTATTTTTGATACTGATTGCCTTTACATCCGATATATGTGCCATGGTAATAATAAATTGAGTTGCGAAATAAGAAGAAGATAAATGTGCAAGTAAACGATTAGGCGTATTTTATAGGTCCTTAATAAATGATCGGTTGGTAAAACCATGACCTGTTAAATGCCAGAACACTTCTAAAACGACGCTGACCTCTAGAAACAAAAGCTTTGCATAAATACAAGCGGACGTAAATTTGTTTAACTTTAAATACAAATTATCGCGTTTTGTGAATTGAAGTTTGAATGGAGAATGTATGGAGAAGAATGAAAGTATATTCTTGTAATTGTGTGAAGAAAACGAACGAACACTTTTTAATTTCGTTTTACGCACGCGCTGTTTTCTACATATTTCTTGGAGATGAGCTTGACCAATTAAAACCGGTCGAGTTAAGAAAATACCGGATTGGATAGTTACGCGTAAAACTCGTAAACACGAGATATGGAAAAGGAAAGTATATGAGCGCAAGTCGACCATTTTAGGGTCATTGCCGGTGCTGTAGCGATAGCATAACAACTACAGGACATGTGAATTTAAGTAAGAGAAAAATAAAAGTTTTCTGTCGAAACTTTCGTAACAGTAAAATGCAAAATCCTTATCTGCTACAGAATATGAAATAAATAATGAGATAAAATTACAATGCCTAATTTAATAGATACTGCCACGAAGTCATACTTCCATAAAGGTACAAGTGTGCTTAGCCGATCACTACCATGGTAATTCCCACGCCTCAAAATTATTACGAAATCTAAATATTTTAAAAACAACTGTTTGTTGGCTTCAGAAAACCAGCTCTAAACGTCTGTAATTGATGCAACGCTTATATTTTGTGTTATGGTTGCCATATTCAAGATATCTGAATACTTTGTGAAGATATCAAGACGAATCTTGTAATAAAATAGTCGTTTATAAGTCAATATTATTAATATACACTCATCCTGATAAGATGCGCTGTAAGGTTGTTAAAATTATAATTAACATCCAATCAATTTTAATTTTCTTGTAATATAATTAATACGTAATTATTAACGACTAGCTGACTCATAAAGCAAGCAAGCATAAAGTGTTTGACAGGTTAAGCAGAGATAGTTGACAGGTTGACAGGTTTGTATGGGACAATAAAATTGTTGCAATTTCGATTTTTCATGCAATTTTTCCATAATTTCTCATCGTTTAAACCTTCCCTGCATTGCCACAAAATTTTCAAAACCAAAATTAGCCAAATCGGTCCAGCCGTTCTCGAGTTTTAGCGAGACTAAGGAACAGCAATCCATTTTTATATATAAGAGATAAGAACATGAACAGTAAAATTTTCAACTATCACCTGCTAAACCTCATGAAATTCATATAAGAAAAACGTCGTCCTAGAAATATTCAGTAAACACAAAATTAAATATATTCCTAATATTTGGTACAACACACAAAATTTGTGACTAAAAACTTTTTGCAAAACTAGACAATTAATTTTGTTTGACAAGACGTACCTATAACAATCGATTCGCACAAACATGCACTTTTTGCCATTAGTAAAAAGTATTGTATGACTGTACGTCCGCGTTACCAGTTTTAAAACGAGATTCCTGTCCTATGAGGGGAAAGTGTAAACATTCTTTGTTCAGACGTATAATACATAACGTACGTTATAATACATAACGATGAATTTTAATAATTTGACCTATTCATATTTTGGCGGCCATTTTGAATTTATATTTTTGTTGCTTCAAGGTCGATTCAATCATAGTACATCGTTGTTAAAGATAAATCAAAATAAATACTTAATTAATGTTTAAATTTACTCTCGTATCCACACAAGGTTGGTAAACATTTGTTGTTTTTTTCTCGCAATACTGGTCGCTCGCAATAATGAAAAATCATAATTTTGTGTCAATCATTCGTCATGTCCTTGAGAAAAATAACACAATTTAATTAGAGGATTCGAGTATTTAAGAAAGCCGTGCTAACCATACAATTTGGACTATTTTCAACATTTTAATAACTTTAAAAACATTTACTTAATCAAATAATATTTTTATAATTCAATGAAAGTATTATTTATGCAAATTTAAGGTTCAAAATCATGTGAAAAACAAAACAAGTCGAATGACAGTAATTTCATACAATCATTAAAAATGGACGTTGCGTTGGTTTCTGTAATCTCCTCCGTTACCTATTTAAAAATGATTTATGCTGATTCTCCACCCGGATACAGACACAATGTGTTCAAACAAAAAAAAACACATAACTAATACCATGGTATTATGGTGAGTAACGATGAGTATATATATAATAGTAAAACAATTACGTCATCTACAGTTTACGTGTAACGCGTCTAGGCTGTCATTTGTCAATACGCGTGGTCAAGGTTAGGAAAATTTCAAACGGTTTTCTTTATTAATAGGTATAAATTGTTTTATTTTCAAATGAGGGATTGGAGATGTGCATTGTTTTATTGTTTTTCATTGTTCTACGATAAACGTTTTCGCTACAATGCTACACATATATTGCCCGTGACGTGATATCTTAGTGTCCCGGTGATCGAATTTTATTCAATATAGTTATGTGTGTTTAGTTTTTTATTCATTTAAATGAATATAGATAACTGTTCCAATTCCAACGCTGTCATATGTGATTTTAAATGCTGACTTATCATGAATAATTTTTAGTTATTTTTTGTCATATTGTGATTATATCAAAATATTTAAATTTCCTCACGATGATTTCCTTCACCACTGAGCACTTGATAATTCAGCTTAAAATTGTAATTATTAATCTTATTGGTGCATCACCGGTATTTGAACTCAGGTTACACTAGTATATTGAATTAAAGGCTACACGGAACACTTAGCTATCACGGCTCTTAGAGCCTACATTGTTTAATGAAAAATATTTTCCTGATTTTATTGTTTGTATTAATTTTAAATTGCCGACGTTTCAACACTGCGGCACCCACAGATTAGAGGCTGGAGTTTGACATCCATAAATCTTTATTTTTCATTTACTTTAGCACAAAGGCATCGATTATAAATATCTGTATAAAAAGCATCCGGTTAATGCCCAAAGTTGTAAGATACAATTCATTGCCCTGAAGAAAAGATACCTATAAAGAGATATACGTTTAATATGCCGTCGGCATTTGTGTCCTTTGGCCCGTTATATTCCTTATATTATTATAGAAAGTTAAGGCCCGTTATATTATATTAGAAGGTGCTAGTTCTTGTAATAATGTATTTAATATTGTGGTAAGACGCTTTCGTTCGCTTTCTGCTGACCGTACCTCGGGGAACCGGTCCTTCGAAGACTGTGACCCGCGCACACCCGCGCGGCTGGTCGCGTGACCACTTACGCAACCAGCGCTAAGCTCGTCCCCAGAACTGGGTTAGAGGGTCGAGCGTTCCGATCGTTTGTCCCGTCCCCACCTTGGTCACAAAGGTCTTGTGTGACGAGCTCACCTGTCTTTTGATCAGAACACCGGTCAGAGATTTTTTTTTTGTGTGTGAGATGGTGGAGCTGATGACTCACGTGATGTTAAGGGATCACCGCCGCCCATGGACATGTGCAAAACTCGTAGGGTTGCAGATGCGTTGGACCTTTTAATAAAGTAGGCCCTACCCAGCTAACCAGACGAAACGCAGAAGTAAGTAAAGACTCTGTAACTTCACGCCGGTATTCTGTGAGGTCGTGGTATTTACCCGGGCGGACCATCCGTGCAACGGCGGAATCTTACCACAGTAAGTTATAACTGGCCACGCCTCAACAACTTTTTTAGTCCCCAATACAACATTTGGTGCGCCTTCCGCTTGTACCTCGGGCTCAAATATAAGACAGTGCTACTGGTACGGAAGAAGGGAATTACGAAGAACGAACTGTTGATGATATTTTGTAGGTATTTAAAAGCTCTTTTCCGTTTTTGTCATTAACGTCCGGATACAAAACAATTTGTCGCATGATTTGATCAGATGTAAGAAGAGAAGTCATCTCATGGATGATTTTTAGAAGCAAAAAAGTCTTTTGCTTCTAAACATACTCCACAACAAGCGAAGAGTCTCTTAGTATTAGAGTAACTAACTAACTTCAAGTATCATGTCATGTGGCGCGTGTCGTTATCTGAGGGAATTTTATCTCGATGACAGAAATTGTTTACTTTGTGTCATTCGATATGTTTGCGCGTTCGCAACTCTGGAGCGCCGGGCGTTTCGCGGCAATGTTTTCCTTTTGGTTCACACCGCGGTGTGAAATTATTTTTCGCCTCCTTCCGAAAGGTCGTCGATTTTGATAAACGTGTCGGCGCATCGAAATCCGTCTTATGTAACGTAACGTAGCGTTAAAGCGCGGTTCTGGTGACCGTGATTTGGGTAAAACTGCGGTCACTTCAGTGTCATTATTGACCATCAACCACTAACCATCTATGAGGGTCTACAGATGCGGTCCACACTTCAGATACAACTAGACTAAAGTAGTGCAGTACTTAAAGCTTACTTTTACAATATCAATAGAAACAACCCATCATTATAGATACGCTACGATCTTAGACGGCGAAAGTGTAGACATTATTTATAGGTCTTTAAAATTGTTTTAGTTGAGAGCGCAATATAATATAAAATGTTTTAGACACCTCGTTTATTAAAGTTTAATATCACTGTTTTCTAACCATCTTGGCGTTATGTATATACTAAAGTCTTATTCCCAGCTAAACAATGTATTGCGAGATTTTGTGGCCGACAAATGAAGAATTTGGATAATTTTTGATAGATACTCTGACATTAGCACGAGAAACAACTCGGTCTGTCACGTGACCATGAACGCTAGAAAGGGGTCGAAACGTCGGGAATTCGAAACCCTAATTAAAACAAAAAAATCCGTAAAATAGTTTAATTTAACAATTTATTTTGATAGAGCTAACTAAACTTCGAGAGAGCAGCAACGGATTACCTGTTGAACGCTAACCCCTGTTGAAACGAGCCACCATCTGACGAGAATAGTACCTACCATGGCCTCACAGAAGACCGGATTGAAGTTTACACATTTATTATTGAACTAGCTGCTGCCCGTGACTACATCTGCGTAGAATAGGGTGAAAGCGTTACATTCAGACAGAAAGACAGATATAGATAAAAATATGTATATAAATTATAGGCTATGTCTTATTCAAATTTATAAGCTGTATTATTCTAAAGTTTCATTAAAATGCGTTCAGTAGTATTTGCGTGAAAGAGTAACAAACATCCATCCATTCATACAAACTTTCGCCTTTATAATATTAGTAAGGATTATTTGTTCTTAGGTAGATTGAGGTTCACACAAACACTCGATGTTTAGGAACACGACTGAGACGTGTCTAGCTTCGTGGGTAGACATGGGGCCCGTCTTTGCGTGTGACTTATACGAAAAACTGAACACGTTCGCCTGGTCACCCTATCCCAAGCAAATATGCTAATTCGCGGTTTTCCCGAATCAAATTGCGCGCCGGCCAGCGATGTGTTCCAATGCAAATTTGCTCAAAACCAGTCTTAAGTTAATTCGTAGATTCGTGGACATCTTGTGACTAGTTTTTTGTTTATCAATTTTGACCGGACTAACGTCGCTAGTAAGGTCAGCTATTACGAGTATGCTGTAAGTCTACTCTCGGCGAATGGCAATTGCTAATTACCAGATAGCGTTTAACGTGCGCTAAGTGCCTCTCTAATTATTTCAGTTTTTGGCAACAACTTTAAAGAAATTTGCGGTTTAGACACACCTGACCAATGAATTGCAATTGGATTAATATCATAATTATCTAATGGCAGTATTCCGCATAAGGGCAAATAAATAAATTTTATTACTTTATAAATTTATTTAAACTCTTTTTTCTTCTGCTTTTTTTCTCGCTCAAAGGCATAACTATTCAGCGAGGAAATGTAGCTAGCGTTCTTGGCACAATGCCGCGTGGACTAGGTTTTTTAGATAGCATGTAATTTAGATAGATTTAATGTTTTAAATATTGGATAAATAAATTGTAAATTACTAAAATCAGAAAATTACAGAAAATCTTTACTAAATAGGGTTATATAAGTTTAATACAAAGCCCTGTGGCAAAGAAATGGCCTCTATGTATAAGCTGTGGATATAGTTATATTTTATTTAATCCTCCCGCCACTATGTAGAGTTTTTACAAGCCGTTATATACCATTTATTTTATTTTATTTATATCAATTATTATTTCTATTAATATTTGTAAACTCTATCTCTAATAATCTCGTATATTGTGTTTCGAGAATTTGTCAGCCATCTTGATATTTTCGCCTGCCATCGCTGACATTTGGTTTGGCGCCAAATACTTCAGCTCAATTCACGTGTGTACGTTAACAAAACAACGAATGCCGCAAGGTCGGAGTTTAAGCGGCCGTTAGTCACACCGGCTCGTAACAGCCACACGCCATATTTATACCCCAGTCGATTGGCAAATCTAATTTAAATCCAATTAATTCAACGACTAAAGAAGAAATTCATAATGCGAAGGGAAACCATTCATGAGATAATTAAACGATAAAAAAAAATGCGTACACCTTCATATTTATTCGTTAAATAAATTTTGGAAACAATTTTAAGAGCTATCAGATCTAAAACATTTTCTTTAACATCTGAAAATATAATGTACCTACCTTAAGTTGTTTATGCGTAAGATTTATATAAGAGATTAAGAGTAAGCCATAAGATTTAGTGGTTGCAACGGTCTTCGTGGTAGATCGTTGCAAGCACTAAAGTGGTAGGCTGTAGCGGTTAAAGTGATGAACATAAACTGAATTTTTCTAGAAGCATCACCTTAATGATAAATTACGCTCCAATGAATGTGGCATCCGCAGCGAGGTCGCGTCGAAACAAAAGAATTCAATCAATAAATTATGAACGTTTTAATAACGTGAAACTCATATTTAAAGGCTTAATTCACAATTGCCATTGACTCGTGCGAAGGCCTTCGAAAAAGATGGCGGAATGATATTTATTTATAACCTAATGACCATGCCGTCTGGCCAAATCAATTCGTCACTCCTTTGTTATTGACTATAAGCATACTTATTTCGATAAGTTTTTAAGACTTAACTAAAATCTGTTGTTTTGCAAAGATTTTCAATGAATTTAACAGTCGAACACTGTTTTAATCAGGGGAAAGAATCTAAATAAAACAATATAACAATATTGTTGCACCTCATAAGAGGGGTAGTTCTTTGCATCTCACGTTAACGCCTCTATAAGACATGGTAAGGTTTGTTAAATAACGTCTCGTTAGTTAGGAAATAAGTCCTAGATTTTTCTTCTCTGGCAGAATGGACAGGGATAACTAGCAATTACGATGAATTTATTTAGTAACATTGACAGTACCTGTCAGAAAACGGGCGCAAGTTAACGACGGACAGATATGAAATACGAAATCATTGTTGAGGTGCATTGAGTTTGAAAATTGTAACCGCAAGTCATCCATCATTCCTTGATGATACGGACCGGTTCTGATCGGCGAAAACCCTCCTATCTGCAGCCCATCTCGAAGGCAGCATAATGCACAGCGTGAACATGTCCCTGGTCGAGCCGACGGAATGCGAGTCCAGGCTACAGCAGGACTACCCCCACCTCCTGGACAACTACGACCAGGAGAGCTGCGCGTGCGGTCAGCCTAGCAACTCCGTTGACAACGTTTGCAAGGTAAGCCTTGCCATATCACTGGTACTAACGCCCTCTGTTACGCAGTGGCGGATATGTAATTTTGGCCGCCCTAAGCCCCAGCCTATAGGTTCCAGCCGCCCCTTTCTCAGAGCCCATCATATATCTTGTTATGATTTGTGAATTTTTTGTCACGATTGGCCGCCCCGCCGGGCCTATTGGGCCTTAGGGCAAATACGCCCCTGCTGATACGTATATTAACTAACCGATTTCATTAGTGGTATCTCCCTATCGATAAAGAAATTTTGTAAGCTAGAAAAATTATTGCCGATTGTAAACAATTACTAATTAAATGGATGCCATCGAGCTATGAACAATGTCGAAATATAATCTCTATGAGTTCTAGCAACCATCAATAAAGCATGCTTATTCGATTAGATCATTCTCAATTGAAACAACGTTGTTGAGGCAAAACTTCGCACAAAACGATAGCTCACTTTTTACATTTTACTTAGAATCAGTCCCTAAGGTGAAACAACGCAACAATTCGAACCAGATTTCATCAGATCAGACGGCTCCGGTCATCACTGGCTCAAAATGAAACCTGTGTACTTGACTATCAAAATTTTCTCCTTTTTAGATTTGAATGACTAACAATCTTTTTTCCTTTCAGGTTGACATCGGGAGTGCCCTCGCATGTACCACTGGTGATGGATACTTTGTGCTACAGGGCATCTACTCCTGGGACTCAGGTGGGACACACACTCACAAGCACGCACACGCATACACACAAACAACTGTCCTCTTTTCAGAGTTTCAGTTTCTATCTTTATTTAGTTTCTAATGTGGAAACTGTTAGCAAGTGGAACTTCTTGTGTACTGATGATGTCGATGATAGTTGAAGATTTTTTTGGCATTCAATAAACTTAGTTCGATATAAATTGTTAAACTGCCAAATACTTACAGAAACAAGGACGAAAAAGCATCCGAATTAATAAAACAACCAAGAATACCGTTTAAGAATTCCAATATTGAAGTAATTAAAATGAGTGCCGTTAAAAGACGTACCACGAACCGTTAACTATTATAGAAGTGATGGCAACAGTTTATATAATGTATAATTTTATCATAAACCCAAAAGTCAACTAAAGCAATAAGGATCAATCAACTGAAGTACCGAATACGTAGCAAGGCGGCAATTTATTACTGTTTATTAGCCCCGACCTAGTTCAAACTGATACAAACATGTTCCCTAACACTGCCTATTATCTTCACCGACCTCTTTCAAAGTTCGTACTTCGTAGCGCAAAATTAAACGCGATTTAAATCCACGCAGGATGCCAGATCGGCAACCAGTTGGCGGCGTTCTACAAGTTCGACATCGAGTGGTACGAGTGGGCCATCGGGGTGAGCGAGAGCGTCCGCTACGAGGTGTACGGCCGCGGCACCAAGGTCACCACCACCAAGTACACCTCTGGCACGAAGGGGGTCTTCGGGCAGGGCCAGTACACGAAGTTCGGCGTCGGCCAAATAGGCCAGGACGAGGCGGCAAACACCGGCAAGATCACCACCGGCCAATTCGGCGGCGGCCAGCTGTTCGGCCAGGGCGCGTTGGCCACGGCCAACTTCAGCCAGTTCGGCGGCGCGGGCTCCCTGGACAAGTTCACCAAGCTCGGCCAGGGCAACCTGAACCTCGGCGCCGACGTCAAGGGCCCGATCTCGAACACGTTCAGCGCCACATACACCGAGAAGAAGTTCTTCCAGACCGAGCCCAAGTACATCACGTACACCACCAAGCCAGAGATCGTGACGTACACAACGAAACCGGAGTACGTGACGTTCACGACGAAACCGGAGTACGTGACGTACACGACGAAACCGGAGTACGTGACGTACACGACGAAGCCCGAGATATTCACGTACACGACGAAACCGAAGATAATCACTTACACTACGAAACCGAAGATAATCACTTACACGACGAAACCGAAGATCGTCACCTACACGACGAAGCCCCAGTTCATAACGTACGAGACGTCCGGCAGCGGCACCAACCCCCAGTACGTGGCGCCTGGGGTCACCTTCAACCCGTCCTTCCAGGAGCTGGTCGCCCAGCACAAACACAGCGAGCAGTGCAAGTGTCTCGAGAACGGCAAGAAGTAACCATCGACAGCCAACGACAACGTAACAAAATGGACCCAACGTGCCATAAGACACTCCTTTCTTAACACATCACGCGAAACGCCAACAGTACAAAGCAATTTCGGCTGGTTCAAAAGAGTCGTGTGATCTGCGAGTTCGAGAATCGATTTTTTTTTGCTCTTTTTGTATTTTTATTTATAATTAAATATCGAAATGTGTAAATAGGTAGGATTTATTTAATTCGAACTGTTTTTTTTTTTTACATAACCTCTCGAATATTTTTTTTTTCAGTTGGTCGTTTAGAAATGGCTTTAAATTGAAACTGCCAATATTTTTATGTGTATTTCATTATGTATATGTTGATTAAGAATAAAACATGCAAATATTTTTGTATTCGTAAACATTAATATTGAAAAGTATTTTCGAGATTTATAGAAATTAGACTTTTGACCATTTTGGGCGAGTTTTGGCGCCAACATGGTCGACTCTCTAATACAATTGGTTATAGTTTTAAAAGTATAAGAATAAGATTTTTATATATAAATTTATCGTACATATATAAAATAAGTATTTAGTCAATATGATACGTATTGATGTATTTTCTAATTGTTGTAATTAGGATTAAACAATTGAAATAAAATGAATGTATTTTACAAAAATGTGCGACTTTCAATTTAGCTAAAATAAAACACCTTAAACATTTTCTAAATCAAATTTTATCTGTTTTTATGAATAAATTAAATTTTAAAATAAAATAAAACATTACTGCTAAATCTAGAACAAAAGAATAAGTAAGGCTTATATATAGATTAAAAAATAAAAAATACCTCCACTAAAAGTATCCTCTAACTAAACGATACTTTTCAAGACTTTATAAATAACCAACTGTTTTATCCGTTACTGTTTTACACCTTAAACATTTTCTAAATCAAATTTTATCTGTTTTTATGAATAAATTAAATTTTAAAATAAAATTAAACATAACTGCTAAATCTAGAACAAAAGAATAAGTAAGGTATATATTGTTACCTCCACTAAAAGTATCCTCTAACTAAACGATACTTTTCAAGACTATAAATAACCAACTGTTTTACCCGTTCGAAATTTTTTCACTTTACGTGATCAATAAGCGAATGGAAATACTAAGTAAATAGTTGTTTAATAGTAATAGTTGCTTTACTAATAAATAATAAAAAATAAAATAAATAAATAATTAAAAAAAAAACATCTCTATCTTTCATTTAAACAAATTATCAATATAATTATGGTATTATAATGTTTTCTTGATAAAAAAAAGTTAAGGAGTTTTTTAAATTGTACTTCTTTTGGCGCTTTTGGGGAAAACTATGAGAGAAAATTTTGCGAAGCACTAGTTAAGTGAGAGGTCGCAGGAACAGTTTACAGGGGACTCCGGGATCGCCTATGGAACGCATCGGTGACCCTCGATACTGCGCGTGAGCTCACCTCGGAGAAGGATAAACTTTTACGATTCCCTCGCCAACTTGCAGCAGTACGAGACCACTTCGTGCTGCTGCCAATCCTTGTCTCCTTTTAGTCGCCTTTACGACAGGCAGGGGTTACGTTAGGGCTACTCTATGAGCCCGGGACTAGAGGGCTGACAATGCACCACACCTAAAAGCTACATACACCATTAAGATGGTTGCGAAGCGACATCAACTTCAGACAAGTTCTTATTTCAAAGAGAGCCTACATTCACAGTAAAGTTTTTACACCCATAGATCTTGCTGGCGGATATTGCACTTGACATATGGTGAGAACTGATTAATCTTATCAGCATCTTATCATCTTATATAATCTTATCAACACATTTTTTCCCTAAAAAAGGCACTGTAATGAAATATAATATATATCGATACCTTAATTGGCAAACCAGCTAACTCCACCTTTGGTCAAAAATATTTTTTGGCTTTGATTGTACCCAATAATAATTCTGCGTGATTTGCAAAAGAACAACTACGATATAACCACTATTTCTTTCTATAAATCGCTATTCGCAAATCAGCCAACTCCACATGTCACGGAATATTACAATTTTAACAGCCAACTCCACCAAGTCGGCTATTTCGTATGGCGTCCGAGTCATGTACGGTTACCGCCCTACGTTATTTGGAAAAAAAATTCTATAAACGCAACAAAAGGAAAGGTAGTGTTGAAAAGCAATTGAACATTAATACACAGTATGGATACTTATTTTATTTCTTACAAAACATTGCTAGGTAATTGAGCAATTCTAAAATTTTATATTGGCTTTGACTTGGCCAGCTTGTTTCTTACTTTATTACGCTACGGTTGGATGTTATACATTTTAAAGTTTATTAAAAATTTAAATTAATTTTAATGATACCAATAAACCTGACTCTTTTCTGGTTCTTAATAACCAATTTTCAAAACACTACGACGCTTTGGTTGGGCATGATAGCGTAGCTTCTAATTCATCGAATTTATTTGTGCAAGTGTGCGGGAAGTCGATGGATGCAGGTGTCCCAGGATCTTACTTCGTGGCAGTCTATGGGGGAGCCCTGCATTCAGCAGTGGACTCAAGCAGGCTGAAATTATGATGATGATGATTTGATAACATTTATAGTATTGGAAATGAACTGTCTGCCATGGAGTATACGGAAACATATGAAATTGTTGTTAATGAAGACATATTTCCTTTTGAAAAAGAACAATTCAGTCCAAGTTTGCTATCTGGTCACCTTACACCATCACTTAAATACAAACTTGAAAATGCCTCTAAGTTTTAAGCCAGCTCACCTCTCTACAAGTAATGATAAATCGGATAGCAATTAGGCCGTTCCTTTGATACAGAAACTACTAATAAATCATGAAACTAGACTACTGTAAACAAAAGAGAAATAGTGTCATCCAATGTCATAATATTTCTGAAGATGACGGAAAAATATTATTTGATAAATTTTTAAATATGACGGGATAAAAAACGAATTTACGTTATAGTTTAATAGAAATTTTAGGTACAATTAGGCAAAGAGATAGGAAAGACCCTTAAAAATGTAAAAAAGTTAATGCTTTTATATACCACCCTTCAAAACGTGTCTATTTATGATATGAAAACTAGAGATGGGTGTTCCTTTGTATGGAATGAATGCAAAGGCTGATTTCTGATTAGTTTGCAACGATTTTAACCAATTTCTTAGTTGATAAAGTAATTCTAGCAATAGAATTACTATTCATAAGAAGATGACAACAGATATTAAAAAAATTAAATTAAATTTGATGATACCAATAAACCTGACTCTTTTCTGGTTGTTAATAATCAATTTTTAAAAACCTACAATGCTTTGGTTGTACACTTGAAAAGAAAAAGAAAGTTTTTATTTAAAATAAATCTATCAAGAAAACCAGCTAACTCCCAGATCACATACTTTTGCACGAAAGAAAAAACGGATAACTCCTAAAAAAAACGCTGTAGTATGGTAATGAAAATGTATAATGGATTTTATAATATCAAAAATGACAATTTACGATAATATCTACCAACTATATTTTAGATTTGCTCATAAGTAGTCTAAAAAAATATTATACAGTTTAAAGTGCCTCCTGTAAAACTTACCCATATGGAGGTAGCTTGTTTGCCAATTAAGGTATCGATATATTATTATACTTCATTAAAACTACGTTACATCTGCGCTATCAAAGAAAATCATTTTCCACAACATTTATAAACTAGATACATTAATAACAAATAGTCACACAAAAAAGTTTGAACGATTCCTAATTGGAATCCAAAATAAGTAATACCCCTAACGCCTTTTCAAGTTTCTGTATAGATAAGAGAACTTACCGTGAATGGCGTGATATGATTATGGAAGACGTTTGGTCAATACCTGCGAAAACAGTTCTTAAAAGACCAAACAAAAACAACACCCGTATTTTTACAAATAATTTTTATAATTAATTTTTTTTTCAATTTTAATAATCTTTATTGATCTAATATTTACAAGATTAAATCTATCTAAAATTACATATTATCTAATAAACCCAATCCACGCGGCATGGTGCCAAGAACGCTAGCTGCATTTCCTCGCTGAATACTTATGCTTAACCTTTGAGCGAGAAAAAAACCAGCTCTCTTGTCACTGTGTTGACATAAACTTTTAAAAAATTTATGTGCGGGGACCCCACGGACCTAAAGTTTCAACAGCAAATGGCACAAATACATAATCTAAACATAAATACTCATATTTGCGCCATTTACTTACTTCAGCCGCCGATGCCGCCCCGGCCCTGACCGAAGTACCCCTTAGATGAGAGGCAGCCAAAGTGTCTACACAAGTGGCGTCCCAAACAAGGGCTTTGCCTCTCTCCCAAGGGATCAATGTTAAACCGTCGGGTCTCTTACCATCGTCGCGAAAAATGCCACAGGGCTCTAAAATAGATGGAACATTGATGGAAACAAGAGCCCTACGGATGATGTCGTTCAAGGAACCATGGCGGGAAAAACGGCCAGCACTTTTTTGACAAGAAAGCCCGTGGAGACCCCAAATTTGTCTACACTGACACCACAAGGGCATTGGTGTGGTTGACAAATCGGTGCCCCCAGACGGATTCCTACAGCAATGCGTAAGCTTTCATCGTCAAGTAATGTGCCCAAGTTACTTTATGGTAAAGCGTGAAGCCAATAACTCGATTCTTTAGATGAGACGCCTAGGAAACGGGCACGCTCTAAATTACTTTCTAAAGATTGAAACGTATCTCTCTGTACTCTCCGCACCAAAGGAACATCCCACTGTTTTTGTAGGTTTACTTCCAGTGGGATATTTTCGTTGGGGCAGATAGACAGCCAAGACATCCTTGCCTCCTCTGCATAGGAAAATTCTGAATCGTGATTAAGGATGTTATTACATAAATTATTTACGCTATGCACGGAAGCAATGAAGGCAGGTAGAGCGACACTAGAAATTTTCCTTACACCGATACCACCAAAACGAATTGGCAGCGTAGCTTGAGTCCAGCTTAATTGATTAAGAGATAAA